CAGGCCAGGTCAGCAGTAAAAGATCAATTAGACAGGAGCGGAGACAGAAGGGTAAATCCAAGGCAAGCCAGAGTTCAGGGCAGGTAGCGGTCAAGCGGAGGTCAGGAACAAGCTGGTTCGGTATCAGAAGACAATCACAGAAATCAGGGAACACAAGCAAGGGTAACACCATACGGCAATGGGACATCTACTGCAGCCAGTTTAAGGCCTTTCCTGACACTGTGAGTAAAGCTTAAGCCGAAATGCGTTAGTGTGTTATTACCATATCCTGCTATGTAGCCAATAAAGAATTGTCACAATGGATGCTACCGAGTAGCTGGCTTCTTTGTATCAGAGGATTATTGCTATATTTCAAAGGCGTCTGGGCCAGAGCACTGGATTCCAGTCTCTCAGGTAATTTGCGGTTGAATGTTTTTTTCTTTGTTGGTATCTAGGTTGTATCGTGCACAGGGCAGTTAATCTTCTAAGTTAGCTAATAAAATGCATCATGTGTTAAAGCTGTCTGTTCCTTTAGCAAAATTAAAAGCAGCACGATTGGTCCTTGTCAACTATACATTTACTCTTTTACCTGTTAGGGTTTCACATTTATCCCTTCTTCTCTCCCTTTAGGTGATAAAGAATTTGACTTCAGATTTCTATGCAGAGAGTTTGAGACAGAAAATCACAGATAATACCACTCACAACTCTGATTACTATGAGCCCTTATTCTATGTTCCAGACAACCATGGCACTGCACACTTGTCAGTTGTAGCAGAAGATGGAAGTGCAGTATCGGCCACAAGTACCATTAATCTATAGTAAGATATGGAATCATACAAGGGTAACACTTTTGTGATCAGTACTGGTTTATGATGGGGACAGGTAGTGCTATTGATTATATTGTCTCTACACACACATGGTTGCTATGTAAAATAAAATATATTTTAAAATGTAATACTCCTTGAAAAGAAAATTATAGGATACCATTTTCCACATTTCTGTTACACTTAAATTTCATGTACTAAATGAACCTCAATTCCATTAGTTGTCTGTTCTGTCCTTATTCGGATTTTGTTGTTTGGCTTTTGTTTCCAAACAAATGACTGTAGTTGCTTGGTAAGTGATTGTGTTGTTCCACGTTTGGGGCTTGTTGTCAGAGCTATGTGGAAATGAGCAATATTACAGAGTGGAGACTGTAAGGGGAATTTTTTTTCCCTATGGTATCCTTTGGTGTCTCAGAGGAACTAGTCTGCCTGGACACTGCAACCTCTGGTGACCATGGGCAGCTATCTTGGCATGGGACCTTATAAAATAGGGTAACCCCGTCATTCAGGAGTGCCTGGACTGAGTTGTAGGTTAAAGACCAAGACCCCAATTGTTAGGGAGAGTGTATAGCGCATGGTAAGGTTTCTGACAAGTAGGATCAGAACAGGGATAACACCTGCATTGAAAAAGCATTCTGGTATCTGGATTAGGAACATGGGGCTCTTCCTAGCAGCATTACAGTGCCATCCCAGTACACTGCCAACAACCACTCCTCCAGTGGAAGCCATCCTCTGGAAATATAGGTCCATGCCTGTTAGCTTTGTATAAACACCAGCTACTCTATTGCTTTATATCAGTGCCTACAAATACTGGTATTATTCAATACTGCTATTTCTTATTTAATATACAAGACAGCTATAACATCAATGACTGGTTTGGTTTCTCCCTAAATGGATACTCCAGGCCTGGGCATGACATGTCCTCAAAATTTTCCAGATCGCAATCCATTGAGTATCTGTGGGACGTGCTGGAAAAACAAGTCTGATCCATGGAGACCCCACCTCGCAACTTGCAGGACCTAAAGGATCTGCTACTGACGTCTTGGTGCCAGAATCGACAGCATACCTTCAGAGGTCTAGTGGTGTCCATATCTCTATGGGTCAGGGCTGTATTAGTGGTAAAAGGGGGGCCTACTCTATAATAGGTGGGTGGTCATAAAGTTATGGACAATCAGTGTATATAATATTGGGAGATGTAAAAAGTTCCCTTATAAGGCACTTGTTAAAACAAGAGGGGACAGTAGAGCAACGTATGTCATTGCAAGTATTCAATCATATTTGAGTTGCTCTTAATATCTTTCAGCTACTGGGAGAAAAAAAATTTCAGAGCAGATATATTACTGTTGCAATAAGACCTTAAACACAAAAGGTATACGAGAGGTAGCCACATGAAGGAACTTTGCTGAGGATTGTGGAAGATCTGCCTTTTTTCTATAAAGTTGGTAAACTCAGTAAAGTTTGCTTAAGCTCTGTGGGATAAGATTGGATTTGTTGGTATTGATAATATTGCAAACTGTGATGCTAGTGGGACAGATGATGCTAATGAAGGCACAGTTTGAGCAGATGAACAGAGAATTGTCAAGAGAGACACTTGTCAAGACCATGTATATATTAGCAGCAAAAATTATGCATTTGAACAAAGCAAGGTTCTTTTGCAGTCTGTGTCTACCTCTCTTAGGTTTCAAATAACTCCATAACTTTTTGTTTCAGCTTTGGATCTAAGGTGCGCTCTAATGTCACAGGGATCATCTTCAATGATGAGATGGATGATTTTGGATCACCTTTTATAATCAATGGATTTGGGATCCCACCTTCACCGGCTAATTTTATCAGAGCAGGTACATTTTAAAAACATACATGGATAAAAAGCATAATAAAACAGAATGAGTTCTGAAAAGTATTAATTACTTTTCTTCTACCACTTTGGCAGGGAAAAGACCCCTCTCCTCTATGTGCCCCTCCATCATTTTGGATAAGAACAATAAAGTGCATATGGTTGTTGGAGCCTCCGGAGGAACTAAGATCACAACAGCAACAGCACTGGTGAGTCTCAAGCAGCACACACAATACCTATATATATTAAAGCTAGGCATACAGTATACAGCTATAAGGGGCACAAGGCAGGTTTGCCCCTTGTCCCCCCTCCTTTTGACATTTGACAAATGCAACGCTTTAGAAGCACTACCCATGGGCACATAAATGAACAAATAGGCCTATATGTCAATGGTTAAATTAATATATCTCTGTGATGTAGGCCCATCCTTGTCCCTGGCCCGTCAGCTATTGAAGAATTTGGTGACACCTGGGCCTTAAAATTAACTGAACAAAATCTGTCTTGAAGGCATTAGCATCTAGAGCTCCTCCGATCACCTCAGTCACCTCTGGCCATTGTGCTTTCCTTTAAATATCTGGGGATTGTAATGACAAAAGACCATTCCCAGGCCATCTCAGAGAACAACAGTCCACTAACGCAATCTATTAACGGTAAACTGCAGGTGTGGTCTAAGTTGTCCCTATTTGTCGTAGGCAGAATCAACTTAATTAAAATGTTACTTTTGCCAAAATATGACTATATACCTACACATATACCCTTAACAGAATGAAAATCCTTCAAGAAACTTAATTCTCTATTCTCTTCCTTTGTATGGAGTACAACTAGACTTAAATTGAAACAGCCATACTACAAAGGCCTAAAGAGGAAGCTAGCATGGCGCTGCTGAAATGTTTTATATTACTTTGTGGGGTAGCTGAAACACCTAATCACACTTGTAGTCATCATTCTTGTAGTTCCCCATAACTCAGACATAGAACATGTTCTTACGACCAACTGGTGTTGATATTCCTGGAAGCCCCTAATTTATTCCTCCGCAAACACCACCTATCCATCTAGAAACTGGACATATCTGTGTGTTTTTGAGGTGAAACGCCTCACTTCATTTCAAGACCTCTCAGATAATGCTATTTTAGCACCACTTAGAGCGATTCCACATACTGCATTATGAAAATCTCATGGGATTGTAACATCTTGCAGACAATTACCAGGAGAGAACAATTAACCTATTCAATTACAGAAGAGACACAATTTACCCAGTCATTTTTTCTGTAGATTCCTACAACTGCACCATGACTTGAAGGCTCAATTCAGGGACCTGAATAAACTCATTGAATACCCACTAATTAACTTACTGTTAAAATCACAAGGCCCCCAAAAGTTAATACCCACTCTCTATTCCCACTCGCTGCACACTAAACTGGGTAAAACTATACAGTGGAATGGGATGATTTATGCTTCTCGCATATGTTAATTTTACCAGCAATCAATAATAAATACTAATAAATAATAATAAATAATAAATACTGCAGTATTGATAAGGAGTTTTTTGTTTTTTTTTTGGTAAGGGTATATATGCCTTACATTATAGAAGTGTACACTGAATGGTCACTTGGATTACTTTATTCACAGAGTGACGCACTATCACGGTTTTACACAGTGTTCACATTTTCACTTTAATTTTCACGGTTTTTGAAGTTGCACAGTGCATTTGATATATGGGTATGATATTGAATTTATTAAGTTAATGTACTACATGAGTTTTCTTTCTTTTTGAGGTACATACTTTCCTTTTGGGAGCCATTGGAGGGGCTCGATAACAAAGGATCTGAAAAGTTGCATTTTTTTGGATACAAAGTTTGGAGTGACTTTATTTTTGGACACGAGTGACTTATAATTTTGATAATAATTTTTGTTTTATTATCAATCATTTTATTTTATTTATTTTTATATATTTGTTGGATATTTTTGGGATCATTGATTATATGATTTTTGGGTTCATCTGTTTACGTATTTAGGGATATTTATTTAACATATTAGAGTTATATTACTGGGTCAGAATTGTTTTATTTTCCATCATAGGTCATTATGAATTCACTCTGGTTTGGTCATGATATTGAGAAATCAGTGGAGTTGGCGAGAGTGCACAATCAGTTATTCCCCAATGACACCACAATAGAAGAGACCATGGATCCGGTAATTTATATCCTTCAAATATTACCTACAGTACATACAGTTGTGCTCAAAAGTTTGCATACCCTTGGAGAATTGACAATATACAGTACCATTTTTAACCACCTTCCGCCCGCCATATAGTACAATGACGGGCGCAAGGTGGTTCTCTCGTTCTGATAGGACGTCATATGACGTCCTACCATTCTCACTGCGCATGCGTGGCTCAGGGAAAGACCTGAAGACGTCACGCTGACAGCTCGAGAGGAGAGGAGAGCTGGTAATCAGCTTTCCGCGGAGGGGGCATGTACACTGATCATCAGGGCACTGATGATCAGTGTGCCCTGATGATCAGTGTGGCCCCAGAAGTGCCACGTGCCAGTGCCCATCAGTGCCACGTGCCAGTGCCCATCAGTGCCACATAGTGCATACCAGTGCACATCAATGCCACATATCAGTGCCCATCTGAGCTGCCTTTCAATGTCACCCATCAGTGCCAGTCAGTGCCACCTATCAATGCCTATCAGTGCCGCCTATCAGTGCCAGTCAGTGCCGCCTAACAGTGCCTGTCAGTGCCGCATAACAGTGTTGTCAGTACCGCCTATCAGTGCCTGTCAGTGCTGCCTATCAGTGCTGCCTATCAGTGCCATATATCAGTGCTGCATTTCAGTGCCCATCAGTGATGCCTGTCAATGCCCATCAGTGCAACCTACCAGTGCCTCCTCATCAGTGCCCATCAGTGCCACCTATCAGTGTCCATCAGTGCAGCCTATCAGTGCCCATCACTGCAGCCTCATTAGCGCACATCAGTGAAGGAGAAAAAGCACTTATTTACAAAATTGTATAACAAAAACTAAGAAAAAACATTTTTTTTTCAAAATTTTCTGTGGTTTTTGGTTTGTTTAAGAAAAAATAAAAATCCCAGAGGTGATTATACACCACCAAAAGAAAGCTCTATCTGTCTAAAAAAAAAAAATGATAAAAATTTCATATGGGTACAATGTTGCATGACCGCGCAATTGTCATTCAAAGTGTGACAGCGCTGAAAGCTGGAAATTGGCCTGGGCAGGAAGGGGGTATAAGTGCCCTGTAGGCTAGTGGTTAAAGAAAACCTGAGTGAGCAGGCAAAAAACATTTCTTATATTTTTTATGGGGTTCATATTCAACTGTAGGTCATAACAGAATGGCACAATCATAAAACAAAAAATGGCAACAAATAAACAAATGAAATTATGACTGTTTAAAAGTCTGCCTACCCTTAGTTCTTAATACTGTGTATTGCCTTCTTTAGCATCAATGACAGCGTGCAGTCTTTTGTAATAATTGTCTATGAAGCCCTAAATTATTGGAGGTGGTATAGCTTCCCATTCATCTTGGCAAAATGCCTCCAAGTTATGCAAGGTCTTTGTTTGTCTTGCATTAACCACATGTTTACGATCTCCCCAGAGTGGTTTGATGATATTAAGATCAGGCGACTGTGATGGCCACTCCAGAATCTTCACTTTTTTCTGCTGTAATCACTGGAGGGTGAAGTTGGCCTTGTGCTTAGGGTCATTGTCATGCTGGAAAGTCCAAGAGCATCCATGCGCAGCTTTCGTGCAGAAGAATACAAATTGTCTGCCAGTATTTTATGATAACATGCTGCATTTATCTTTCCATCAATGTTCACAAGATTCCCTGTACCTTTTAGAGACCACACCCCCCCAAAACATCAGTGAGCCACCACCATGCTACACAATGGGGATGGTATTCTTGTGACTATAGGACTTGTTGACCCCTCTCCAAACATAGCACTTATGGTTGTGACCATAAAGCTCTATTTTGGTCTCGTCACTCTATATTACAGTGTGCCAGAAGCTGTGAGGCGTGTCAGTGTGTTGTTTGGCATATTGTAACCATGCCTGTTTGTGACATTGGTGCAGTAAAGGCTTTTTTCTGTCAACTTGACCATGCAATTTGTATTGTTCTCCTTAACACAACCACGCAGTTTTTTTCCAGAGCAGCTGGAAGGTTACTTGTGGGGTTTTCTTTGTATCCCAAGCAATTCTTCTGGCAGTTGTGGCTGCAATCTGTCTTGGTTTACCTGAATTGGCTTGGTATCAAGAGATCCCCGATTTTTGCACTTCTTAATAAGTGATTGAACAGTATTGACTGACTCAAGGTTTTAGATATCTTTTTATATCCTTTTTCATCTTTATAAGGTTCAGTTACCTTGTTATGCAGGTCCTTTAACAGTTCTTTTCTGCTGCACATGGCTCAGGATCTAGCCTGCTCAGTGTATCCACTTGCAAGCTAACAAACTCATTGACTATTTACACACAGACACTAATTGCAATGTAAAAAGCCACAGATGTGGAAAATTAACCTTTAATTGCCATTTTGTATTTCAATGATTTTTTATTAACTTTTTTAAAACAATTTTAACAAAGAAAAAGACATGCCCACGCAGGGGCTATCAATGACTATCTTTCATGATAAAAAATAAAGAGAACAGTGCTATAACACCACAATGTAAAAGGCGAGCCCACATAGGGGCCATTAAAAGTACATAAAATACAAAAACAGTGATATAACACCAACAATATACCAGCCAAAGGCAAGTATCTACTGCCTCACAGATTCAAACAGTAAATAAAGAGGAAAAAAGAGTAAATAAGGAAGAAGAAAACAAGACCAGAAGCAGGAATCCGGAAACGCCAATACCATACAGCATCATGAACCCAGACTAGTCGGGGGGAGCGTGGAAAAAGGCATATGTCAACCACGGCTCCCATGTTTTCAAGAATTTCCATTGGAAGTCATTACGGATACTCAACATCTGTTCATTGAGCATCAGAGTGGTCATACGGTCCCGCACCCCCTGAAGAGGGACAGACAGGCTTTTCCAGGCCTGAGCAATTGTTCTAGTGGCTGACAAAAACAAATAAGAAGCCAACTTCTGCTGATGGGCCAACAGGCCCGGTATGGGACAATGAAGCAAAGCATACCGAGCCTCCCGGCGTATGGAGAGATGGAACAATGTGTACAGAACGCCAAATTCACGAGACCAAAATCCAGTTAGTCTCGGGCATGACCACCAAATATGCAACACATCTCCACGATGGCCACAACCCCGGAAGCAGCGATCACTATAGGCAGGGTTCGTCTGGGCTATTCGAGCCGGGACCTAATACCAACGAAACAATACTTTGTATGCCGCCTCCAGCGTGGCTGTATTAAACAAACATTTAGCTATAAACAACCAGGCCCTGTTCCAGTCCTCCAGATCCACGACCGCCGCCAAGTCACACTCCCATTGGGCAACATATGATAGAGAGGTACGCATTAGAGAGCCAATTCAAGGATGCGTAAAGTAGGGAAACAAGGCCCGGAGCTCCAGGACGCTATTGGCAAACCTAATACAGGAAATCGGAATAGAGGTCAGCCAGTGCCGCAATTGATCATAATGAAAAAATTCCACATGAGGAACATCCCGTGACTCCCAAAGAGAGCTCCAAGTGGGGAAGGACCGAGAAGTCAAAAAGTGTCGCACTTGTGAAAAACCATTGGCCACCCACCAGAAGAACGCCCCTGGTTGATCGAAGCCAAGCAGGAAAAGAGGATTATTATTAATTGGGAGTAAAGGCAGAAAGGAGACATCAAGCCACTGGAATAACGTACCGAATCCCACACTCGTTGGCCATCGAGGAAAATTGGACTCAGTGGCATTGTGATGGGGGCACAGTTAGGCAGTTCCAAAAGGACTTGGCTACATTAGGCACCCCAAGACCTCCCTGGAGTCTATAGATAAAAAAAGTATTTCTGGAAACTCTGGGGCATCTGTTGGCCCAGATAAATCGCATAATCCTCGCCTGAATCAGCCAGGAAAAATGAGGAGGAACCCGCACACGGAGGGTGCGAAAATAATTTAACAATTTAGGCAGGATGGTCATTTTCACCGAGTTGATTTATCCTATCCAGGACAGGAATTGCTAAGACTGCATGAGAGAGGACACAGAATGAAGAAAGGGATAATAATTCGCAGCAAAGAGCCATAGGTAGGGGTCAGGCGGATGCCCAAGTATTCAAGTGAAGAGGAAACCCATTTGTAAGGGAAGTGAAACTGTAAGCACGAAACCAAATCTGAGGCCAAGATAATATTGAGAGTGACAGTCTTATCCAAACTAATATGGAGACCTGAAATCAGGGAGAGCTTGTTGCAAATTTGGGAGTGTCGTCAAGGGATTAGTGAGTCAAGAGGGCATCATCAGCAAAAAGTTAAATTTATATTCCTGTCCCATGTATGGAACATCCGATACATTACAATCAGCCTGGAGTGCTTAAAGCCAGCGGCTCAAGCACCAGGACAAAAACTCCAGGGACAGGGGGCATCCCTGTCTCGTCCCCCGCCAAATAGGAAAGGGGTCGGACAAGTACCTCGCATACTTAGCCGAAGGGGAAGAATATAAGGCCTTAATCCAAGAAAGAATAGAATCCCCAAAGCCCCAACGGGACAGCACAAACCGCAGGTATTCCCAGGATAGGGAATAAAAAGCTTTATATATGTCTAGGGACAGTAAGAATCCCGGGATTTTCCGCTGTTGTAGAATGTGTATAACGTGGACCACCTTATAAACGTTATCACCCGCCTGTCTCCCAGGGACGAAACCGACTTGATCCCTATCGACCAAACTATGCAAATATTTATTGATACGAAGACTGAGAATCTTGCCCAATATCTTAAGATTTTCATTAAGAAGAAAAATGGGCCGAAAGTCTTGCGGTTCCTGCACATCATCAGTTGTCTTAGGAATCATTGAGATACAGTATGAGTTCTGAGCGCGTCTGGAGAGGGCAAAGAACCCTGTCGTAACTCATTAAAGTAACCAGCCAAAAAGGGCGCCAACAGGGTTGCAAATTACTTATTATAGAGGCCTGAAAAGCCATTAGGGCCCTGGGCTGCGGTGGACCATAAAGATTTGATAGCTTGAAGTACTTCCGATACGGTTACACCGGCATTGAGGGCTCCGCTTCGGACAATCCAGGAAGTCGTAGTTCTTGAAAGAACACTTCTGCTTGAGCTACAGGGAAGAGGTCTGGTTTGGCTTATAGGTGTGAAAGCAAGTCCGCGAAGCATGAAATAATCTGCTGGGGATTGGAAGTGCAGCCCCCCTTAGGGGGTTGTAACCAGACCGGATTGTGGGGTTTCCCCACAGAATTGAGTTTCCTAGCCAGCATCGCTTATTTGCACAGGTATAAAATCTATGTTTGGTCCAACACAAGGCCCATTCAGCCTCTGAAGAAGCAAGCGGGTCCAATTCAGCAGCCAGAGCGTCCTGCGTTCATTTATAGGTCTCAGATGGGTGCGACTTCCAAAAAGCATCCACAGAGGCTAGTATAAAGTGGAGGTCTGAAAGACAACGCTCCCACTCCCGCTTCCGAGCTGTAGCCAGCTGAATAATGTGGCCCCGCACCGTGGCCTTATGTGTCTCCCATAGAGGCACAGCTGAAGAAACAGATCCCACGTTCTCCATAAAATATGTACATGTATGAAAGATACTATTTGTTGGCAGGTGAC